CACGTTTTATACTATCACTCGGTCGATGATTCATCATCTTACTGGGTTTCTCCTATTACCACTGATTCGTTGATTCTTTTTTAATACTCGATATTTCTTTTGAGTCCCCGTAACAGCCGTTGCAAGATATCTGTCCAGTGATCCCCACCCGCCTCCAAACTGACATGCTCCAAATCGCAATAGTGCCAGGCAAGTTTTCGGTGCAATTCAACCATCTGCACTGAGGACGGCTCTTGAACCATCTTACGTCGCTGTGTCTTTGTAGCTCTCGCTTGTTGCATGTCCAAACCATCGCTGTTATGGTTTTCAGTGTAGACGAGTGTCTTCTTGCCATTTACACCTAAGCACTACTGTTATTTAACATAATCATTAGTTCCCTTGTTTATGTATCTCGTTTAATATTTGTCTTCATGTTCAGTTCGTCTTTCCGCAGTACGGCACTGGGGGTAATCCATTGAACAGCCTCGGTATGGCCGGATCGAAGAGCCAGCTGCCGCGAGTGCCGTTGAACAATTCGCAGACGCCCACGACCAAGGTAGTCATTTGTGCTTCAGCTGACGCTTGTTTAACTCGTGCTCCTGTTCTTGTGTATCCTTAGAAAAAAGGCAGATGGTGCGCGATGCACGTGCAGATCGCATGGGATATATACAACCGCATCAAGTGCTCCGAGTACGGGTCCGGTCGCGCGGCGCAAGACTCGGCTGCTGCTGCCGCTCTCCTCGACCACCAGCAACACGCCAAAAACCAGGCGCCATTCTCATTCCGTAAGTGGTACTTCTTGAGGTCGGTCGGAGCCGGTCTCTGTTCGGCTGCCATACTTTGGTTGTCGGAAATACTGGATAAGGATGATATATACATATATAAGGATGAGCAGTTGGTCAACAAAAATGACAAAATAACGGATAATTAGACGAAAATTGGTTGGTGAAAATATCGTTCCATCTTGATTTTTCCGGATGTCTTTACCGGATATTCGTTATCACCCTTTTGCTTTTCACCACGTTATCCCATCTCGATTTTTTCACCCCAAACCGTTTATTTATTTTTTGTTTAATTACGACGTCCTTTCTATATTTTCGCGGGTGCTGGCTAACCGGGGAGGGGTGGAATACGTTGTTCTTGCAACCCGTAGCCTCTCTGTCGAACTTTTCGAATTCTTCCTAACCAGCAACATCCTCCTCTTGCTTCAGATATCGCTTGTTTTATTAGTTATGCCATTCGTATCCGCCGATCCTTGCTATGTTTTTTAACCTTCACTCTGCGATATTTGTTCCTTCTTTTGCTTTTACCAGCTGCGGTATTTTTAACGGCTCTTTGATTAGATTAGTCTTCAGACACAGATATTCACGATTTTTGAGCAATTCTTAGTCGTAATCACTTCACGCATCGGCGTGAATGTTTTTTTTACCTCCCATGGTTTGGCAGCTAAAAATCGATTCTTCGAAGCCGAACAGTGCCCAAAAAACTGTTCGACAGGTTCGATAATTAGCAGCGAAATAATAATGGCAGAAGTCTCATTATTCGTCTCATTTGCCGCAAGCATGACTACCGTTCATTAAACATCGGTTCGAGGCAGCTACTACCTATCATTTATAATACACGACATCGATGCATTAAGCATTCCCAAGCGGTGGTACCTCACATCAATATATAGCGCTTTAGTAATGGTTAGCAGATGAACTGACCACTTGGACAGCGACGTCCATTCTTCCGTCAGTCACCGACACTGATACCTTATCGGCTACCGACTAATTGCAGTGCTAATGCTTCCTACTGGTAGTGATGGAGTTGTACGAGTTAGACGATCTTATAGAAGACGAGATACGTACATGCGACGGTGCCTGCTGGTTGTTACCGGTGTAGTCTTGGTGTTTTTGGACCTTGTAGGTTCGTGGCCAGATATTCCATGTACATTAAGCAAATAAGCTTTTTTAATTCGGAGTTGCATTCTTATTTCGGTCGTTGATGGAGTTGATTTTGTGGTGCGCCCCTGCTTCGGTCTTCTAATCTTACGAGTCACGG